GTTTCTACTCACCTTCCGAACTTCGTAAATTCAAATTATGCATTTTTATTTGTTGTTGATGAAGGCGCTCGAAACCTTTACTCTCTGGTCGATAGCGACATTGTCCGGTTACCCCTAGATCAGGACATCATCGGACATGTGTATAAAAGTGGCAAACTTATCAACTATGAAAGTGGCAGCCTCATGAAAAACTTCGCCCATTCGTATAAGCCCAGTACGGAGAAGGAAGAAGTCGGGAAAGATCTACCTCCTAGTGGGGGAACAAACGGAGGGACAGAACTATTCGTCCCAGGGCAGACACCACAAGAGCATAGGAACAATGAAAATTCCCTCCATTTTCTCAAAAACCAGGACTTCTACATCAACAGCAAGAAAATTGACGTTCATCAGGTGATGGCCGCCCCGGTGTTTGGCCTAGACGTAAGTGGAGAGCTCACCCCCAACTGTACCTACATGGGGACATATATGTAACCGGGGCGATACCCACTGGTGCATCACCACCATCCCCATTCATGTCTCATCTGTTCCCTCCCAGTGTCAGGAATCCATCATCGCCGTCGTGGTGGCGATCAACGCGAAGGATAAAGTCTCCTTCACTGACAAAGACGCCCAGTTCCTGAGCATGTTCTGCTCGCACATATCGAAGGAGCTGGAAGACGCCAAGGGGCTTCCCGACACTCTAAGGTGAGCAAATGGAGCCAATTGGCACTCCAAATGGACGCCAAACGGGGCGAAAAAGTGCCAAAAGGTGCCAAAAATAAATCCATAAATGGCCTCTAAAAAGAAGAGAGTTGCCCGGGACGCTTCCAAAAGTAGCATCGTGGAAAGTAGGGCCACATTATAACTTCCCCAAAGATGGTATCTCATTTTTTTTTTTTCTTCTTTTCCTTCATCCTACCTTGCTCATTTTCAGGCTGTGTAAAAAAATAGTGTACGACTGAAGGAAAGGGTGTTGGAAGGTTTTCCAAAGGGGTAAGCCGAATTGTCATACGACTTGTCAGACGATCTTCCAGAGGACTTTCCCAAGGACCCTCCCCCTTCTCCACACTTCTACGCCCATCTATGCCGCTCGACGCCCCTTCTTCAATCACTTCCGACGGGAAAAGTACCAACTAGGAGAAATTCCAACCTTAATGACAATGCACACGCTGACAGTGGCGCCATTTCTCACCTTTGCAAACTTCCCCCTTCAACATGCTAAACATTTTTTTGTCTGCTTATGTACCCCTCTGTAAAGAAAAAAAAAAAAAAGGAAACAAACACTAGTTAAACGAATGTCACAGCGAGTATTTTGCTACCGCGAAGTGTCGCCCCTGGTGCACGCACATATGATGGCGGTGCAGGAAGGATGCCCAGAGGGGCCTACCCTTCAGAACGAAAATGTTATCCGCCAAGTCCAAATTGGCCTTCTTATGCGTTATGCGAATTATAGTCAGATTTTTAAAAAGCGACTTCTGCCTCATGTTTTGGAAAATGACTCGTTCATTGTACCTGTCCACGGCCGAGGTGGACTCATCCAAGAGAAGGATCTGCACAGTGGAGGGAAAGACAAATGAGAATGGTCGACAAGACAGAGAAAAAAACAAAAAAAAAAAAAGGGAAATCCAAGTGGGAACCCAAATGCAAGCTATAACCCCCCATTATTACCAACTTGGCTAATCAAAATACATACGTACCTTCGGACTCCTAGCTAGCTCTCTTGCTATACAAATTTTCTGCTTCTGAGAGGTGGTTAGCAATTCAGTCCTATTCGAAATAATGGTCTCGTACCTCTTCCGCAGTTTGCTTATATACTCATGACAAGTACAGCACTTCGAAATATTAATCAAATCGAGCATGTCAAAATTGGTGCAATCGTCTGTGATGCAATGGGTCAGATTTTCCTTTATTGTCCCTTTAAGTAGCTTCGAATCCTGTTGGACGTACGAAACTGTGTTCATAATCTCTTTTCCACTGTAATGGCTAATTGGCTTGTTATAAAGGTACACCTTTCCCTTGGAGCATTTGTAAAAATTTAGCATCAATTTGTGCAGCGTTGATTTTCCCCCTCCACTCCTTCCCAGTATGACATTATTTGTGTTTTTTAAAATCTTGAAATTGAGATTTTTCAAAACGTAGTTGTCTGTATTTTTGTACTTGCAGAAGACCTTGAATTGAAGCACCACGTCGGATTGACTGCTGTCCGCGGTGGTGTCTAGCTGGAGAGAGATTCCCTTCGCAGCAGCCTTGTTAGGAGAGGGGCAGCTGACACAGTCGGAGGAGCTCCTCTGAGAAGGCTGAACGTGCTTCTTATTCTCGCCACCATCAGAAGGGTCAACATTGCCCCCCTCTCTCTGGGCCTCCTCCCCGATCAGCCCGATGATGTGGCGGTACTGATTCACAATGTTGCATATGTCCATGTAGTAGTCGAGAATATCTATGTACGAGTAAATATTATTTATGTAAAAGAAAAAAGACGTGAAGGTATTCCTGTCAATTTCGTTTCCCCTTAGGAGGGTCTCCCCCTTGAGCAGAATGAGTATATACGTTTCCAAAACGAAGAGTTTGCTCACCACCATGTGGACAAGATTAAAACGCTCCTTCCTAATTTGAAGACGAAGAATTTCACTTAACGACTGGGAATATCTACCGCACTCGTACAGTTCAGTACTGAACAATTTGATAACATTGATATTGTTCAGTGCTTCCAGGGATATCTTAGTGCTTCTACTTTTCTCCTTGTTTATCGATTTTATCCTCCTCTTCTTCAGCTTGGTCGAAATGATAGTAAGGAGGGAGGAAATCAAGAAGCAACCCATAATCACTCCTGACAACTTATAATTCAAGTAAAACATATATGCAAAATTGAAAATGATGGAGAAAAAATTCCGTATGAATGGATTTATATAATACGGAATGATATCTGCAAAGTCGTGTGTTTCCAAAGTTATCCTGTTCACAATTTCGCTGTGATCCATTTGGTCATCGTATTCATTGTCCTTATTGATATAAACTTGGAACAAGAGTCTCTTCACTTCCTTCACGGAATGAGCACTCGTAACCATGAAAATATAGTTGCGGAGCCCGCACAAACACATGTTAATCACTCTCACCAGGAAACAATTCAGGAGGAGACCCCCAAAATGGTCGAACCTTCTGTTTGATACATCTTGGAATATCAAATTATCACAGCGAGGTATTATGATACTAATGATTGCACTGTGTATCATTACAAAGAAGGTGAGAAGGATGATTTTCTTTTTACAAAAGACATTTTTATATACCCATAGAAAATTCAACATGTTGTCTTCCTGCAGAAACTTGCTCACTTTGTTGGCATATTTCTTCATTCCTCTCTTCAATTTGTTAAAAAATGAAAGCGGAGCATTTTCTCCACCCCCTCCAGTTGGGTCCTCTTCGCATATAGCGTTGCTTGTCGGTTTTTCCCTCTCGCTCCAAAGGTAACTGCGTTTGAAGTTTATCCCTAGATTCGTCAGGGGCCTTTCGCCTCCAAGTATTGCCCTTTTGGGACTACACGTTGTTGTTACGTTCTTCCTCCGCGTTTCCCTCCATGAATCACATCCTCGCAACACAAACGTCAACTGTTGTTGCCGTTTAGATGCGCCCCCCTCGGCCCTCCACTCCGCAACGCGCTCGTGAAGCCATCCCCATTTCATGCACCACCACACACGAGGGTGTCCCCCAGTCTGTCTAGTTCGGTCTTCCCCCTACCCGTTACTACCCTAAAGCGCTTCTTCCTCCTCACCTTTGTGTTGTAACCCCGTACGGTGTCCTTCTTCACCGAGTTACTCCTCTTCGCGTTTACTATATTACTCACTATCGGTAGGAGAATCACAAAGAGGAGCAATACGGTGGGACATTGCCGCATCTTCTTTTCCAGCACGGTTGCATCTTCCTCACCATTTTGCCATCCCGTTTCTGCTTCTTTTTTTATTCTTCTTTCTTCTTGTTCTCTCTTTTTTTTTTTTTTCCCTTTCTCATAACATCTTCTGACGCCACACATGGATAACCAAAATTATATACACCCCACGAAAAAAAAAAAAGCTCCCAAAATTTTCTTGTCCTATAAGAAGATGATTTCGTCAGGTCAACCGCTCATGCGTTTAATTTTTTTATTTTCTTATTTTTCTATATTTCTATATTTTTCTCCTCTCTCTTTGGAGGGTCTCCATTGGAGGCGGCTGCGTGAGCACAGCTGAGTATACGATAAGAGGAAGCTTCTAACCCGTGTGGAAAACTACCATCACTGAGCAGCAGAAGGGATTTCCAATTTGTTAGAGGCGATCACACATTAGGGAACCGCCAACTCCTAAGTTGTGCTAACTAAAAAAACATCTTCCCTTCCAGAGAAGGCTCTACCGAGATGGCGGCAACATCACTACACCCATAATGGCTAATCTGCTAGGTGTTCACATCAGAAGTGAAAGCAGAAGAGAGGGAAGTACTGTGCCCTTTCAACCTCGCAAATCACAGCACCATTCTTTCCTTTTTTGAAAAAGATGGGAGAAAAACTTCTCCGCGGAACGCAAGGACGCGGAACACGAACCGGAAATGAGCACCCCGAATATTGCCCTCGTAAACAAACGACACGGAGTTAAGCAGCTTCCAAAAGGGAGTATCAACAAGAGAAGCACCTGTTATACGCATTAATTGGGAATCCACCATGCAAAGCATCTTCCCCCTCAAGGGACTAACCCGCTCGTCACAACAAATTGCCACAGCGGGCGCACGTGGCGAAGGGGCACAGCGGCCAATTCGTACAATTTGCGGGAAAGCAGAACGACTGTTCATTTTTTTTTTTTTTTTTTTCCTCACACCTATACCGACACATGCCCATCGACAGGGTGAGAAAAGAGATTGGCAAAGGGGACAACTAAAATGAGAAAAAACTTTGCAGCATTTGAAGAAAGAATTCACCCCTCACCGGGTTGAACACATTCGAAGATACTTCACACCCCCCAGTGTCCTGATTGCACAATAAACGGGCAATCACAACTATGCGATCGAATGGGAAAGATACTTGTATATAAGAATGCGAATGTACGACACCGTTCTAACCTCCAATGGTCGCAAAAAAAAGGGGGTCTATTTTTTAAGGACAAACTAGGGGCACTCTAACAATGCACTCTGTGTCAGCAGAGATGGGCTATCCCCCTGAAAGGTCTCAAAATGATTACCACTTGGGTAGAGTCGCAAACAGTTTAATCTTTTTTTACGCAAAATATGAAGGTGAAAATGAGCAGACGGCTTCTCTTTCGTCCCATTCTTGGGAGTCCTCCATTCTTCACAAATGTTTTACTTTTCCTTCCTGCTGAACTGCTTTGTTATGTATACTGTCCTAAGTCTGCTTCATAGTGTCCCTTCCGATACCTCCCCTCCCCCGGGTGAAATATCAACCCTCGCAGAGCCAATAAAAAAAAAAGAAGGGGGAACGCCTTGGATCTCTCCAAGGGGGGAATTCACATTATTCAGGGAACAATAGCCAAAACGGAACTGCATCAAAGGGGGAAAAGTTCTTGTGGCTGCAAAAATAGCCCCTATTGTTCCCTTGTAATATGATGCGTACCCCCTTTTCGAGCCAAATTCTGCATCTCGTTATTCCCAGTTCCTCCATGAAGGCACATACCCTCTTTATACACCTTCCCTGAAGAGGTCCTCGAACAACTACCCCTATTTGTATTAAGAACGTGGTGGTAATTTCTTACCTTAGTGGAAAAAGCATGTGTATATCTATTGGCGTTTATTCCCCTCTCTTTAGAAGAGGCACTTCTTGCGTGAGAGAAATACCAGGTTGCTTCAAACTTGAGAAAATCGTTCCGATAAACTGTACAGCTTAATTTTTCCCAACATGCAACTAATCGAATCAAAACACCACGTGTTGATTTTCCTTCCCCTCCTCCGCAAGTCACCAAACGTTGAAGCGTATTCGGAAGCGGCACGAAATTACAGTTAGCATGTGAGTAAATGTAGAGCGAAAAAGTCGACCCCGCGAAAGCGTTCCCGTCAAAATGGCAAATTAAAGCACTCGTAAAAATGGGAAGGCTAATGTGAGTATTAAACAAAAGGAAAAAAAATACACATATATATAATGCTCATGCCCTCTATATGCACGTATGCCTGTATGTACGAATGCATATCTCTTTCACTTATGCATGTTATATATATACTTATCCTGTATGCATATACTCATGGATGTACTTATAATAACCCAGCCGAGGCTCATAGCACCAGTTCTAATTAACTTTTTTTTCTTTTTCTTTTCTTTTCCTCGTTCATTTTTGCATATTCACAAATCTAATTGGTTCAATGACACGAATTGCGCTTTTAGAGTTTACTCCTTAGAGCGACCTTACCGCTGGATTCAGCGTTCCCCCAGCTCCCTTTTTTTTTTTTTTTTTTACAATTCATGGAGCATTTGCCCATTTTTGAGTATCCACGAAATTTACCTCTTCAAATACGAGGCAAAATAGATACCTCTCTTGTGCCAAAGGACGTCCCCCCTGTGCCAGAGCACTAAGCTGGACGAAGTACCTAAAACAATATTAGCGTCCCCCTTGGGGGGGTGTTTACCATTAGTTGGTACCTTCATCCCATGCTACTCCTTTGTGACATTGCGACCCTTCTCTACACGCATGTTCTAAGCATACGTTCACAGACTCCCCTGCGCACGCCCCAATTGTGAGAGGAAACGTTCCTAATAGACATGCTCAGTGTATTCAGCAGATCTCATGAGCGTCCCTTTGTTATTTTTTCTCTATTTCTTTTTCTTTTCTTTTTCATTTCTTCTTCTATTTCGTCTTCTTTTTTCTGTTTTATTTTATTCTTATTTTTACCTTCTCTTTGTCACCACGTGAAAACAGTTGGCACATTTTACAAAGGGCGGTGTTCCCCAATTTGCAGATTTGCAGAAATGTACACCCCTTCGCATGTTACGCCCCCCAGCATAAAAAACCAGTTGCTTATCTGATAAGCCAACCATTCATGATCTTCCTGCCCCCTGCTACGTGCGAATTGGTGTGTGCAATCCAGTTGTGCGTAGCCTTCTACCCGTTGCCTGGGGCATTCTTCTGTGCCTTCATTTGGCAATCTTTTCAGCAATTTTTTGCCAATTTTTCGGCAACTTATCGCCCATTTTTGGCCAATTTATGCCAGCGCTTGCCTAATATTTTGCCATTTTTCCTCCCACTTTCCACCAATCGCAAGAGCCCATCCGCTCGGCACACATTCAGACCAATTCATCGGTGCCGCGGATTTCTCGTTTCCCAAAGTGCCACGCCTGCCAGTACGAAGTTCCGTTCCACACATCACGCAGATCGCCTGAATGAAGAAAAAGGAAAAAAAAAAAAAAAATAAAATAAAATAAAATAACAGTGCGTAGTGTACCTCCTAGCATTTTTATTTATACTTGCACAAGCGGGAGGAACGAAGGAGTTATAAAAAACAATTGGCGAGAGGAGGGGCGCCTTTCAGCGAACCGGCATAGTTCAAACCCGTTTTTAGCAACCCCTACCGTGCGTGTTGGAGCAGCGCCCGAAGAATAAGGATCATTGTTGCTGCCTAGATAAGGCATAATCATTGTTACGCTGAAGCAGCAACTTCATTTCCCAAGCCGTCGTTTACCTCATCGCCATAGCCAACGCAAACCATGGAGTCCAGCATGTACAACAACCTACGGAAGCTCATCACCGTGATCGACGAGCTGAGAGACATCGGTCTGCAAAAATATATCAACCTACCGCGCATATGTGTCGTGGGTACACAGAGCAGTGGCAAGAGCAGTGTACTAGAATCGATCGTGGGGCTGGACTTCCTCCCCAGAGGTGAAGGAATAGTCACCAGGAGGCCCATAGAATTTAGACTCATACACATAAAGGAAGATAGCGAAATTAAGCACTGGGCCATATTTGAGGATGATAAGAATAAGAAGTTCACTGATTTTAATGAAGTCAGGGAACACATAAACAACTTAACGGATGAATTAGCTGGAAAAAACAAAGGAATTATAGACGAGCCAATTGTACTGAATATTTACTCGACAAGCTGTCCTGACTTATCACTGATAGACCTTCCAGGGATCACAAGAGTGCCTCTTAAAAATTCCGATCAGACAGATGACATAGAAAGGCTAACAAGAGAAATGGCCTTCCGATATGTGAAAGACCCCAGGACAATTATCCTAGCCGTCTTGCCAGCCAATGCAGATATGTCAACAAGTGATGCTCTGCAAATAGCGAGAAAAGTAGATCCAAAAGGCTTGAGGACAATAGGGGTAATTACAAAAATTGATTTAATGGACAAAGGATCCGATGCAAGTAAAATGTTAATGAATGATGAGATAACTCTAAGGTTAGGCTACACAGGAGTGGTCAACCGATCCACAGCAGATATTAAAAATGGAAAATCAATAGCTGAATCGTTAAAAGACGAATTACGATTCTTTCAAACTCACCCAGTGTACAGAAAGTTACCTCCAACACTGTACGGCACGACATCACTGACAGATAAGTTAACCAAAGTGCTCCTTCGACATATTAAGAACTTCCTCCCTGAAATTAAGGTCGAAATAAATGACCGAATCAGACTCATTAATGATAAGCTGTACGAGCTCGGCACGAACGTACCTTTGGATGCAACGAAGAAGACACAGCTCCTATGGTCAATGATTACCGATTATTGTGAAATATTTAAAAATACATTAAAAGGGAAATATGACAAGAGGTTACAAGTCTTCATAGAAAATAATGACATCATTTGTGGACTCAAAGTGAGAAGCATTTTTAATGAATTCCTAGACGAGTACGTAGGTAAAAATGTAACGAGCGAACTCAGTGATAACGATATCGATGATGCGATTTGTTTACATGAAGGGGATAGCTTGCCAGGCTTCCCTTCCCCAGATACATTTGAGTTTCTAATCCTACCACATTTGAAAAAAATCAACGCACCAGTGTTTAACTGTCTCGATAAAGTTAGTCAGACTTTAGAAATACTGTCCCAAAAAATTGCCAATCGGGTACTAACCAGATTTCCTAAACTATCCGAGCAAGTGCTGGACTTGTCTCAAACAATCCTCCTCAGGGAAAAAGAAAACACACATAATATACTCGAAAATTTTATCGATGCAGAAACGAATTATCTCTTTACCAACGATTCTTCTTACCTAATTGAACACGGAAGTATCATTAATGCAAATGAAGATGATCAGAACAATGAAAATGCAAATCAAGATTTTAACTCTCATCAGAGATCGCAAAACAAAAGACAACAATCCAATATTTCCAACTCCAATTTAGATAATAATAACATGCAGAGTAAGTACTACGCCAATATGATGAGCGAACAGGAGTATATCACCGGCAAGGCCGCCAAATTTGTCAACACAGCTCAGAAATCCGTTATGAATATGTGGAACGCAAAAGAAAAAAAAAAAACCAGATATAATGCTCAGTTTATTCAAGAAATCAGAAGAAGGTTAGATTGCTACTTTAATATTGTCTTACGGAATGTCAGAGATAGTGTGCCTAAAATTATCGGCTACTTCCTCATTAGGAAACTTCAGGAAAAAATGCAATTCGAGCTCTACTCAGATTTAAATAGCGAACAGAAACTGTACGATTTGTTAAATGAACCTCCTCATGTTGTCAAAGAAAGGGAACACCTCAATAGACAGCTGGATATTCTCAAAAAAGCCAATCAAGTTCTCCTCAAAGATCCCAATATCACCTCCATCAATTTGGACCTCTTCGACGCCAACTATGAACAAGACCTGATCGAATTCCAGAAGAGCTTAAAAACTGGAAGCGCACAATCTGCCACCCAGACGTACAAGCAAACCGTCAACTCCTCGCAGGGCAGCATGCACAGCCTGGGCGACGGACCCTCCATCAGGTGGGTGCGATCTCAACACAGGGGGCTACTCCAAACGGGGAGCTTCTCCACACTGGGAATCTGTCCACACGGGAAGCCTTTCAACACCGGAGACTTCTCCTCACATTTTCGTTTCGCCCATCATTACTTATCTTCTTCCCCCCCCGCCGCCACCTCAGCAAGCGCAACCCAATGATGCAAAACCGAAGCGCCTCGCCCACCTCCATGAACTCAAATATGATGAAACCCAGCAGCATGATAAATCAGAAGATGCCCTCCTCGACCTACATGCAGCAGAATCTGCTCAACGGTAACTGCGCCAGGGTCCAAACGTACCACCCCACCCTATTTGCACCAAAATGAGTTGCGGAACCTCGGCGGGTATGATCCCACCTCGTACCCACCGCTTACGAGTAGAACCTCCACCCACGATTACACCACGATCACATCACGTTTGCATTATTTTGTCGCTCCTCCCTCCGTCCAGATTCCAAAGGAAAGCACTTGTTTGAAAAGGAGCCCATGAAGAAAAAGGTAAGAACTTTGAACCGTAAAGAACACAATAAAGGGGTGAAGCATATACATATTCATACAAATGCATCCCACGATCGCACACGTTGTGAAATTTTCCCCCA